CAGCCCAGAGGTTGTTTCAGGGTTTAATCTATGAGTTAGCCACGCCCTGACTTAAATCAGCCCAGAGGTTGTTTCAGGGTTTAATCTATGAGTTATCCATGCCCTGACTTAGATCAGCCCAGAGGTTGTTTCAGGGTTTAATCTGTGAGTTAGCCAGCCCTGACTGCTCCAAATATAGTTTTATTTTCTGACCTGTATTTTGCTGAATATTTACATCATTCTTTTGACCTCTCTAGTTATAAATCCCAGCCTTGTGGTCCAACATTATTCAAGATCAAGCTATACAGGTATGTATGTGTGGAAGGTAGCTCCTTCGAGATTAGGATTTTCGATTTTAAATGCTAAAAAAATACTACTGGAATGACTTCCAATGCAACACAACAATAATCAATAAGTGGTCATCTGAGCCCAACAACGGTCTAACCAGGTATTTCTAAAGCAAAGGCAGTTCCTTTTACTGACAGCTTTAACCTATGACCTACAACATTTAACTTTTAAGCAAAGTCAAAGATTGTTCTTGAGTGTCCAACAATTTTTGGTAGACACCAAAAGATTTAGATAGGGTAAAGGACGCTTAAGTGATTCTCTAATTATATTTTCTTTTCCATTGTACTTTTTCCATTGTACGTTTTCTATACATATGTGGGTTTTTTTCTTGTTAATATGTTAAACCTTTTTTTTTTTCTTTTTACTAAAACTCCAGAAACCTTGTAATTACTGTTAACTGTGTGATCTCTCACAATGAGCTTAGCTCTTGGAGAGAACACAGAGAGTCAATATGTTTAAGTAAAAAAATAAAAATAATAAAAAACCTACGGCCTGCCTAACTGAGACAATGTCCTAACCTTGCCATCACAACACCAAACAAAGCTACACTACACTACACTGATTCCAAATCAACCTCATTAATAAACTTTAAACAAGGTACACATCATAGCTTCAAACTGTTCTAATGTTAGAATATATGTTATCTCATAGTGAATCTCTGGCACGTTATGGTACCTCCCCATACCTCTATCCTCTATATGGACTAGGGGAACTCCCTCAGGGCTTTGCAAGATTAAGTGCCATCTACGGTGGCACATACATGCTGGATAAACCTGTTGAGGGTATCGTGTATGACGATAACGGTCAGGTAGCTGGAGTTACTTCTCAGGGAGAAACAGCAAAGACCAAAATTGTAGTTTCAGATCCTTCGTATTTCCCAGATAAAACCAAAAAAGTAGGACAGGTAAGATCTACTCTTTGTAAGTTGCGGTATTACCATCTGATATTCTCATTGGCTGATAAGATTAATCAGTCAATCCCTGGTTATCAATGATATTTGTTTGTTTTGTTTTCAAGGTTGTACGTTGTATATGCATCTTAGACCATCCCGTTGCTAATACTAAAGATGCCGAGTCCCTCCAAATTATTATCCCGCAAAACCAAGTTGGGCGCAAGTCTGGTAAGTACATTGTATATAGGTGTGTGAGAATATTTTCTTAACAAGAGCATCCCTCCCTTACTTCTGTCTCCTTCCTTGGTCCTTTCCTTTTTTCTTCTCTTCCTTCCTTTCCTCCATTCCTTCATCCATCCTTCCAGCCACTCATTTGTTGATCCATTCATTTATTAAATAAAACATGTAATCAACATTACAGCTGAAAAAATAAGCACAATACTTTCCAACTATACTTGAGGATCCTTTTACGTCCCCTCCACTCCCCTCCTCTCCTCCCAAGGTCCTGTTGCCTGTAACAAAAAGAACTTGCATTATTTTTCCTATGAATGTGAAATCTGAAGAATTCAAAATGGTCTTTTTTTTCCACAGATATCTATGTAGCCATGCTTTCATCAGCTAACAGTGTTACAGCCAAAGGATTTTACTTGGCATTTGTTACCACAACAGTAGAGACCAACAACCCTGAAGCAGAGCTGAAGCCTGGTCTAGATCTTCTAGGAACAGTACTAGAGAAGTAAGCTAACTTCAACCATTCCAGCCTACATAATGGCCTGAATAGGATTGGGGGGGGGGGGGTCGAGGAAGTGCATGTCCCCTTGCTCACTTTATATTCCCTTTGTTCCACTATGCAGGCTACAACCTCCATTATTCTTGTGTTAAAGGGAAGTCATAATAAAAACAAGATCAAGGCTAATTTTGCTTGAACTAGAGATTAATTTGAAAGATTTTTTAAGGAAAACACAGAAATGACCCCAATGGTTCCACAGTCTTTTTCTTGTTCTTTTATGACCTAATGTCAAGAACTATAGCATATATGCGCAGGTAGAGTATTCCATAACATTTGTGAATCTGATATTATCTTGTAGGTTTATTGATGTCGTAGATCTCAGAGAACCAACTGATGATGGCTCCAAATCGAAGGTGAGTGTCACTACCCCCCAGAAATGGAAAGAGCACCTCGATATCAGTAAGAAGGCAAAGCTTTAGCTCATAATGTTGACTACAGGAGAAATGGCATTGAATATAATCTCGAATTTTTTCTTCCTTTCTATTTTTTCTTTCTTCCTGTCTTTCTTCAAGTCGTTTAGTCTTCATCCCATCTCAAAACCTCAACTTCTAAATTCCGATTGGACCTGGCCTGACCTGACCTAGACCTTAACTTTAGCCTTGTGTGATTGTAACATCTAAAGAGTCACAAACGCAATGGTTAAGCTGGGAACGCAGTTTAGAACCTAATGTAATAATTTTGACTATCTGTATTATAGGTATTCATTACAAAATCTTGCGATGCAACAACTCACTTCGAAACTGCCTGCCATGACATAAACGACCTGTACCTACGAATCACAGGAGAGAAACTGGACTTTTCCAAGGTGCAAACCGATATTGATAGTGCACAGTAAAAGCCTAATACCCCGCAAAGGGTTGCAGATCAGAATATGAGAATATGAAGTGAATCGTTACTTGAGATCATTATAATGTGCAATATAGAAACATTTTTACTTAAAATAATTTGAATTCCGAAGACTTGGTTTGTTTTGTAAACGTATCAATTGCTATAAATAATTTTGATTTAATAATTCTCTAGCTGAAAACTGTCTTACTAATACTATACGTCCTGTATAATCCTTCTCATTTTTCATACCATTGTATTGCTGAAATTTACCGAAATGAATGTAAAACTAGGAATAATCGGTTTCTCAGTTTCTCTCTCACAACTGTCAAAAAACCATCAGTCAAAAGAGGATGAATTGTTAGACGTACTGTCAATTGTATTAGGTCTGATGTCTTCTTGTAGGTAACAATCCTCGCAATAAAGGGTACTAACTAAAGAGCTGTTCTCTTATGTAACTAATGCTACCTCTTTTCATCCATACGTGTCATTGGGTTACCCTTCTTCATCCATGTACACGTGTCATTGGGTTACCTCTTCATCCATGTACACGTGTCATTGGGTTAC